TGTCAACATGGAGCCAGGCGACTCTCATACGATGTGCCATGTAAAGCAGTACCAATTTTGAACAAGGGGAGTGTGTTTCATATTTTGCCTACTTTGATGCATCTACTCATTTTCCACCACTGCCAGAGTTGTAGTCAGTGGGCTCACGATGCTCTGATGAGATTTTCCAGGGAAAGTTTTTGAAGGGGACAAGTTCACCACCTACCTTTGTTCCAAAATGTGTATTAACTTGAACAACTAAGAACTTCCCATGTCCCATCTACAGAAAGATGATTTGGTGGACATTGTTAATAAAGTTTCTGTGCTACACTTAGCACAACATGTGGTTCTGTGAATGATAAAATATTCAACTTGCAAAACATAAATTGGGAAATTTGATATAAACCAGGCTGTCAAGTCACAAAATAACGTCTTCAACAGTAAGCTTGACATCATCACAAAAAAACAAATAGCAGTTCAACCATTCCAAATAATAGAGAATAGAAATATGGAGTAGTGCTGATCTCTGCAGCCCTGTATTTTTATGGTTCAACATTAAGCTGAGAGAACACCAGGACACTATCTGTCAAGGGAAATTTTTGACACGGAGAGTTTGGCTGAGCAGGAGGATACAGAAATTGCAACACTCCACACTATCAGCTTCCAGCTGGCCAAGCTTCAGGTCACTCCATCCTGAAGTGTGAAAACCACCAAAAAAACAACAACAAGCACAACAACAATCAGGAGATAGATAACAGTTGCACAGACAATGATCTTTTGAGGACGTTGTAGTACATGTTCATTAAACTGCATCCCTACAAGCTGCCTATGTTTTGACTACACTGGAAATCCAGGCAGGGTCAGAGTTGTGTGAAAAGACCTTTGCTCTGAAGAAATTATGCTCCTTCCTTGTATTTTGGTTTCAACTGCCGGAGACACTCACAAACAAATACTGCCAAAAATATTCAAAAGTAGTGTAAGAATACTTTGTATTACACATGGAGATGTTTTTTTTCCTAGTACTTTTGACTGTATGAAAAAAGGCTTCTATTCATTTTCATTGGAAAAAAAAACAATGAAAAGTAAAACAAAGCGGTAGACGTTGGCTACCAAGCAACCAAGCATTGCTCTCTATAACTTCCTGAAGGGAGGCTGTAGTGAGCTGGGGGTCGGCCTCTTCTCTCGTGTCATCAGTGATAGGACCAGGGGGAATGGCTTCAAGCTACGGCAGGGGAGATTCAGGCTGGACATGAGGAAGTATTACTGTTCAGAAAGGGTGGTCAGGCACTGGAATGGATGCCCAGGGAGGTGGTGGAGTCACCGAGCCTGGGGGTGTTCAAGGAAAGACTGGATGTTGTGTTGAGGGACATGGTTTAGTGGGAGCTGTTGGGAATAGGTGAACGGTTGGACTGGATGAGCTTTTAGGTCTTTTCCAACCCTAGTGATTCTATGATTCTATGATTCTAAGCATGGAATGATGTATTAACTCCTCTTTTGGATTCCTAGGGTTCAACAGAGGAAGAAAAAAATCTTTCTGCATGCATGCAGCCTAAGAAAGTTCTTATTTGAGAACTCACAATCTATTATTAGTAAATCACTCAAGAGTAGATCAACTTGTAATATTATTTTTTAGAAAAGAATTGTTATCTCCAGAAATTCTTGAGAAGGATGTTGATAATTGTAGCTATAAACATAGAAATTTCCTATCTGTCTGAATGACGTTCTTGAATTCCATGAGAATGTGCTCTACGCACATTAAAGCACTTAATTTCAAAGTCATTAGTGTTAGGTAGCTCTAACAATCTTATAGGTGCATTTTATTGCCTAACATTAATGATGAAATTGATTTTTTTTTCTTGTACCTAAACTATATCCCTAAAAAATAATTTTCTTTATTTTTGTGCCTTTTTCACAACATCAGCACATAAAAAAAATTTTGTGTGCTGTTATCTCAAGAAGAATGATATCAATTACATTATGGATCCCTTTCTTTTTAGATTTTGCCACCAGGTAAGTTACCCAATCTACAATGCTTCAAAACACAACAAAAAGAAATTGCACTGAGTGTAATGCCTTCAGGTTTGGCTGGATTAACAGAGTGATTATGAAAACGCAAACAATTTGATACTGGTAGCTTGACTGCTCAGCTCAGCCTCATCTCCAACAATATATCTCAAACATCATTCTCTTCCAGAGGGTCGTGTCTGCTTCTCTTTAAGTGGTGAAATGCATCACTCACTTCCAGTGGGTCAAAAGAAACAGTGAATGCTTTGCCAGCAGCACTAGCTCTTTGCAAAATGTTGGATTCCTCTACCAGTCCAGTAAATCTCAAACAATTTAGAAAACAATTTGGGTAAAGGGCCTGAATTACCTTTTCTTATGATGAGACCTACCTACTTCAGAATGTGGTTAGCAACTATTACAAAAACCTATTGCAGCAAGCACTTCTGTACTTCTTTGACAGATGGGAGAGTGGGAAAAGGTTGAAGATTTTAAGTGGCCTGGAGTGCTCCCTTACAAATTTTCAGTCAAAGTGACTGAAGGGAAAGAAAAGAGACAACTGGAATTCCACTCCAAAACACCATGTTCCTCCTTCACATGTTTAGTTTTACACAGTGATAAACCGTTTATCCAGGAAGAGTTCCACTAAGAAGTAAGTGATCCAGTAAGATTTAAGAGATTCAAAAGTGCAGGACACCAGCTACCATTCCTAAAGGCTTGTAAAGCAAAATGCAGAAAATGTGAAATTTTAATTTCACTCTTCTGAACAGGAAAAAAATGAAACAAAACATCTTAACTCAGAGCACCAGGGAAAAAAACAGACAGAAGGGGAGAGGGGAGTAAAACACCATGAAGTATTCTTTGAAAAATGTGGCAAATAAATACATTTAAACTGAACTGGAAGAATTAAATAATGGTGATGTTCTTCTTAAAACACAAACAGAGCTGAAAATCACTTTGAGACAGGAGCCTCTTAGTAAGAATCTTCAGGCAACTGCTTCCTGGAATGTTTTCCATTTGATTGGGTGAACAAATACTGGGAAATTTAGTTAGAGAAAGATGAAGCCTGTAAAAGTTCACAAGTCTGCAGTGCTCATGGTGATTCACCTAAAGATTTACAGGAGGATGAAATGCTTTGGTTTCTGCGCTTGGAAAAGAAAATAGTTCTTACTGGCTTAGCATACATCTCCTCATCAACAGAAATCGTGAGAGCAGGGATTGCACTCCATCAGGAACTCATTGCAAGGCCTGGAATTTCTCATCCCATATTGTCTGAATTCAACCCAGAAGCATCATCTTCTCAGTAACTGCCTGCATGTCCAGCTAGGTCCAGACTTGAAGAACAGCACACACATCAAACCTCACATTCCCACATCCACTAGCAGTCTTCATACAACAAGGATGAAGAGAAGAGAAATGAAAACTTCTCTCAACACATTCTTTAGCTCAAACTAGAGAACTGGCTGCCTTTAATAGCTTTTAGTCACAGAAGACTCACAAAGTATGGAAAATCTGAAGTGGAAACAGCAAGCAATCAGTTCTTTAATAAATTCAGAGAATTTCCAAACCTTTCTGTCGGGAGCTAGAGAAGTGGTAGCACTAAATATGGAGAGAGAAATAACTCCCTAAATTTGCTATCTACCAAAGTATGACTTGTTCCTCAGTCACTGCCCACTATAAGGACAGAGAAACCTATGAGTGCTTCCAGTATTCTTTCCACCCTTGGGAAAACAAAAGAAGTTATCTGAAACCTTCTAACCTAGTATAAGGTCCACAGAAAACAGTCATTTCTCTTGCCTTGGCAAGAGGGATCTCCTTTCTTCCAGAAAACATCTGCAAAAACTTTCTTTACAAAAATCGTCAGGATGGAAAAAAATTTATAGAAAATCAACTTAATGAGACTAATCAGGAAAATTTGCCTTCTTTGTCTGCTCTTAGTGTATGAGGTTTGAGTGAGATCTGCCTAACTACAGTCTAGATGGCTTTGCCACTTGGGAATGGTACCACACAACTTGCTCTGAGCAGGAGGTTGGACGAGATAGCCTCCAAAGGACCCTGCTGAATTCAGCCTTCTGTGATTATGTGCTATGTCTTTACACATAGCATATCAGTACTCTGAACAGGAGGCTTGATCAGAGCATAGGGATTTTGAGGTCTGTATGAAGAATCCCGTACCAGCATTTCCCAGCATAAGTCAGTGCATCTATTTATTTTTAAATGAAAAATGTATGAGTAATCAAAGATATCTGGAGTGGATAAACATTAAATACAGTGGCTTTCCCCTGAGCCCCCAAAACTATTAAGCTAAGCACTGACAGCCCTCTCTGAGAGACCAGATCTGAAATCATTCCCTTAAACGTTTCTAGCATGTGTCAATGAATCTGAAAAATTGAGGATACATACGATAATTTCAATGGAAAGAAACTATTGAGCTGTTTTATGTGTTGTAAAGGATGAACAGTTCTAGTCACATCCCTTTTAATACAGTCACTGTTCTTTAGTAAGAAAACAACTACTGAAAAACTGTTGGCTACAATTATACGCCTACCAACAACAGGACAAAATGAAATTTGACTTAAGGCTGAAACAAAATGAAAATTCAACAAGCTTACTCTGAAAAAAAACTCTTACAATACAAAAAATTTTGCACTGTTCTTTTCAAACTCAAATTTACAAAATTCTTCTGACTGAAAAAGTAAATGTACAACTCAAATGCAGACATAACCACGGTGATGTTGGATGATGTATACTGAAATTTTAAACCACAGGTGACTATTGCACACTTAATTATGAACACAAACAGCAGTTAGAAGCGGTGTCAAATGTTATGGAAAGTATAATTTATTTCTACTTAAAGATATTAATTGGCCTGTATTAATCATTCTAAGCAAAAATACTTCAGTAAATTAAATGAGCCAGAATAAAGTGACAGTTCAAGTACCATACTAGGTCTGTGTTTCACTGGTTTAGCAGGAGATAAAAAGCCACTATGCTATGATTGAGTTTATCTCAGTACTCACCATTATCTTGCAGGTATCTTGTGGAAGCTGTTTGATTTTCTTTAGTAGATTTGATAGAACTGTGTCCTCTGGACACAGAATCCTCTGGATTATGGCATTTTTTGCCCTTCTCTTTTGGAGGCTGAGGTGAGGAACTGTTCTCTCCAGCGTCACTGGATCCAACAGTAGATTTAGACTGCCAATCATTTCCCTGAAAAGAAGTGTTCATCATCATCACTGATGAATATGATGAAGTTTCAACATTATTCCAAATTTTTAATATCTATGGAATTGAATCAGGTGTTAAAGAAATGTATTAACTTACAATCAGTACAGTTAAAGAATATCTAAAACAATCTGGAAAACTGTAATTGTATTATCAACTTTCTACATGATCTGACTAATTAAATGCTCCTCAACCAGTCACAGAAGAAAACAACAACACAATTACCACAAGCAAATAATGTTTCATCTGATGGAAAGAATGGTTAGGCAAACTTATACATGCATATAATTAAATAGCTGTATTTCATTCACATATGTGCGTATCTCATCTATGCGTATGTGAAGATGTAGTGTGTGAATAATTAACTGTCTGTGTAAATACAAAATAGATATTGATCTGCTGAGTGTCTGGAGAGGATGGCAGTCTTTATGTGGCAGGAGCACTGACTACCAAATGAACAGAATGGTCTGCCAGCATGTCACCTCTCAATCACCACCAAGGAAATCACCCGACTCCTCTGCTTCTTGGGTTGTGAATTCAGAACAAGCAATAGAAATCTGAACCTGATGTTTTCAGCTTACAGTTATGTACGGTGCTGGACATACCAATAATTCTAGGAGCTAGAGATTTTATTCACAGCATTTTTCCCCAGTCAGAATCTGTTCACAAGAAATATCATAAAAACCTTAGCTGCATATTGCAGCCCTTTATGATGCTGTTAACATCGCACTAAGGTGGGTTAAGAGATTAACAACTGAACCACAGTTGCCTCTCAATTGGGGATGTCACCCTCCTAATTCTGTCATTTAAATGGCATGTGTATTTTCCTACTAAACCAGTTCTGTCAAAATGCTCAGTATAACAACAGAGCACTCAAGCAGAGGACAGAAAACCATGTCAGCGTCTAGAACCATTCACTTCGTCACAGACATTGATAAATCATGGAAGGCAAGTACACTTTACTATAGTGTTTCACTTACTGTAGCTGCATGAACAATTTATGACATTACAGAACTTGCCTACCAGAAAGGACTTTCATTCTGCAGGAGTCTTGGGTACTTCAGTGCTGAAGTTAAAAGCAACGTCTATGTGAAATTAAAATTGCTCAGAAAAATACGTCCTGAGCAAAATTTTGAATCTCTTCCATTTTGTGTGATTCTTCTGATTTTTGTGCAATCGAGAGAAGTTCTATTTTAAATATTTTACTTAAATGCCACCTAGGCTTGACCATCTAATCAAGCACTTATTTATCAGTACCACTGAACCTACCATTTAACCTTTCAATACAAAAAAAACTGAGGGTGCAGAAGTATTTCAGCTTCTTCTAATTCAAACTGGAGACTGTCACTCCCAAGAAATAATAGTAAAAATATGTAGAAACCAAACTTAAGCAGTTTCACAATCTATACCAGTTCACTCTCTTTCACTACAATCTCTATATGGAATAAAAGTGATTATAAATAATTGTCTCTATGTGCTTTTAAGTATTGGAAGAAAGAAGAGTTAATAAATAATTGCTTGTGGAAATAGCTTGCAAAGCTCATTTATTTAATATCAAACATTACTTTGAACTGTATTCTTTATGCTGAGTTTCAAGAGAATGGAAGTCAGACTTGTATATTTTATTCCTTATTCTGTTAAGAAGTTCCAGAGGTGTTTTTTGTTTGTTTGTTTTTTGATTTGTGAATAGTGAACGGATACGATCAGCTAACACAATTAGAATGTCAAACTGCAAACCTGACGCTCTGCTGTCTTGTACAGTAAACTTCATTTGTACATAATTGGTGCAAACAAACATTTATATTCTAATTTGGCACTGAGTGTACAGTGAACTCATTTTTACACACGTAAATAGCTCCAAACGAAATAAAGCAGTGGATGCTTAACCTCTGTATTGTAATGGTTAGCTAGGGACAAAACACTTAGGAAACTGGGCTCGGGCTTTATTCAGACTCAGCATGCAGAAACACCTTTTTCTGCAATATGCTGTGTGAATGGCCCTGTGTTTTTCCTTTAGGAGCATAATTTGAATAAACAAACAGGTTTATTACGAGCAAATACAGACAAATAAAGACATTTGAAAAGTATTATGGGAAATACCACAAGGCAGCAGCTGTTCTTTGCTAGGGAAGACTATTTAAAAAACAAGACATCCATTTCTGAGATAATATTTTCTTGGATTTTTTATCTAATTGACACTACAAATAGCTACAGATTCATCAAGCCATACCACAGGGTGGCTGTGGCTTTTTCTCTATGGATTTAATTAAACTCAGAGGACAAGATTTCATCTGCCGGAATTAAGCAAAACTAGAAACAAACACCACAGTGGCATTTGATACTTACACTGCCCTTAGATTTTCGAGGTGCTGCAATTGGAGGCAGTACGGATGCTTTAGAACTGCAGAAATAAAACATGCCTTAGAGTTCTGCGCACTGTTTCTTCCGTAGGTGCTATCAGTCTATCACTAAATCAAGCAACACCAAGAAAACTATAGCAACAAGTATCATTTTATCTACTAGTTGCAGAGTTTTGCTAAGAATCACTTATTTCTGCTCACTAGAGTACATTTAAACACATAATCCTTAACTTAGTCCAAAAAAAATGCATTACATTTCACCATAATGCACAGTTAAACCCACTTCTACTCCCTAGGGCAGTGGTCAGTGAGTTAGTGTAGGATAATTAGACCAAGTATAATGAAACATTCCAGCAATTTCAATAAAATTCTGTATCATCAATTGATCAAGACATCTTAAGCAATATTTTCCAGTGCCTTTAAATTCATTTGTTTTAAATTTTGTTTCTCATGTTGCTCACTGAAATAAATTAATACAGCAATACATGCATAATGTGGGACAAATGCCCTAAACTCACCTGTGGGACAGGTTTCTATTTATTTCCATTTCTTTCATTGCAATGACTCCCAATTAACTTCACATTTCAAAGATACCAAAAGCCCAAGTTCCATCTTACAGAGACCCTGTTTAGGGCTCTATTATGTGATAATGCTGGCTTACAAAAACGACCCAAACTTTAAGCACTCTTAAAGGAGTACATGTTCCATAAAGCATTACCATGCAAGCAGACCCTGACAAATGTAGCTACGCATGATCTCATTTAGCTAATAAGTCATAATCTCATTTGTGAATTAGGAAAAAAAATTAAGCCAAGGCAAAATAAACTTTTGTCTGATAAGAATTTTGTGGAATATGATCGATGGTTTATTTATGAGCCAAAATAATCCCTTGCATTCCCATTTTCTCTTTTATTACAGATTTCTATCTCTACTTTCTTAGACGTTTTCAATAAAATTTTGCATCCATTCAAGCAAATCCATCCATCTTTTATAAATGTTTTATAAATTATAAATTATAAATTTCTGGCACACGTACAAGAATGAGAAATATGGAACTTACCCCTGTGGCCTTATTGTAGATTTGCTAAACAGCAGCTCACCATATGGTAACTTCTTAAACTTTTCTCTACCCGCTGCAACATAAAATTGCCCTTTCTCCAAGTCTGACCCATTCTGAATGTGTTTTCCATCTAAAGTGTAAAGTCTGAAAGAATATGTAAAGTCTTAACATAATAAACCTTACCATTTTGCAAAATGACATAGATGACAGGTAGACCAATCTCACTTGAAACTGATGAAATATGAAGCACAACGACAGATCAAATGTTCTCACCATTTCTAACTAAATGTGAAGAATCTATTACTATTCCTTTGGTCGTTAACACCTTCCTCTTGATATCTTGGGTGGGATCTGTTCTATGGGTTGTCCTTGTGCATCTACGGTATGGTCTAGATTTGGTGCCTTCTGATTTCCATCTCTTTGGGCCAAATAAAGATGGACTGGGTGGGAAACATTTTCCTAGCAATGATACCATCACAGCAGCTGTGAAACAGTGACTCATCTCAGCTGGTGCAAATTTTTATGAGTGCAGCATGCAAGCTCTTGTTCATGGCTGATGAAAATGCATAGCTAAAAGTGGTGGCTATGCTGAAAAATAGAGTTTTGTAGCTAATAATCTGCTCTATCAAATGGCGTTATTCTGCTCTGTGTATCTGATGTAACTTCCATGGAAATAAATAGAAGGTATTACTTTCAGAGCATAGTGATACTTACAAACATGACTGTGGGTTTTTGTACCTGATCTTTCACTTTGCTTACGTTTTAATATTAATTAATTTAATATTAATATGCAGTGCACAAATATTTTTGTTTAATGTAACTCCCCAAAAGTTACAAGCACCTGGCAGTTTCTAGTTTTATTTTTCATCCAGAAAATAATGACAGTAAGAACTGGATGAAACCAAACCAATCACTGAAGAAGAAAGGGGAATTAAAAATGCACTTTTTAAGAAGGGAGATATATATGAAACTACTGGAATAACCAGTATCACACACATACACAATTTTTGTGACACTACTTATGCAGCTTGTTACCCCCTCAACTGGTCCAAACCATTCAAAAACATCCTGGGTTCTCTCATACTTCCCTGGATGATATTATGCAGGAAATGTTCTTGCAGTCATTTCTGCTCACTCTCACTGGGTGAGAGCTTGAACTGTAGGCTCATGATGAACTTCCATTTTCCCTCAGTCCCAGCCAAAAAGTTGCAGCCAAAACAAAGCAAACATAGGCTGACAAAGTGGACAGTAACTTGAGGAATCGTTGTTTTCGAACACCTGCCTGCCTACCAGATACTTGCTGATCAGGTTGCTGTACCCTATCGCCAAGCACAATCTGGCAAGGAGAAAGACTACTTTCTCATTGTCTTCTCTCTCATATTTCTTACTTATATCTGTGTTCTTATGATGATGATCAGTAATTGTTTTCAAAAGCTACATGTGAAACTATAAAAGTCTCGGCAGCTTTGGATGTCATTTAATGAAACAAGGAAGAAAAACTGCCATACACATAATGCAGGTTCTCATAACTCCACTTAGCTTTCCTTGGAATCAATGGTCTTATAGCAACTCTGCTAACAGTAACATAATTTCAGTAAGCCCCAGCAATTAATATGTAACTTATTAAAGAACAACAATCACTCTACCAGTAGCATTTTAGCATTTTAAGGAAAAAGCAATGAAAACTGGATTTAAATAAGAACAAAAAAGGGAAAACATTAAATAATTCAAAGCACTATGTGCTTTATCTTTATCTTATCTGTTATCTTATTTTTAAAAGATTGCAACAGAATGCTGAAAAGAATAACGAACACAATACTTCTCAACAGCAATTTTAACTACACACATAAGTCTTAGTCTAAGCTGCGAGATATAGTTTAGTAGCTTGTGGTAGCAATGGCAATGAGAAGACTGTTGGACTAGATGATCTGGTGGGTTGTTTCCAACCTTGTGATTCTATGATTTTATGATTCCATAACTATATATGCTTTCATATATATCAGTCAGATTCACCAAGGAGTGATTGGAAGTAATGAGAATAAAAGACAATAGGTTTTTAAAACCTTAATCATCCTAGGAAGTAGAAAAAAATGATTGTGTGAACAGCTGTTATTATGTTCACTTCAGGTTTACGATAGCTGAGAATCAGATCCAGAAAGCTGAAAAATGAGGTTAGGTTAACTTTGATGGAAGTAACAGTGATAAGAAGCCAGATAACCAACAAAAGACAAGAAGGACGGAGGGGAAAAACAGATGAGAGCTAATACTCAACAGACAGCATTATCTTCATCTTTTATGGTCTGCACCATCTCTGGAAAAGTAATCACAGGAACTGAGTCAGATTATTGCATTTTCACTGATTTGAGAAATATTCTGCAAGCTTAGCCTCAGAAATTGCATAAGAAAGGAAGAATGATTTTCCACCCCTTTCCTATCTGAAGGATAGATTTCTGTAATGTGCTCTGCATGGGGTAACACTGGAACGTCGGTCATTTGCCAGTGCACATCTTTGGCAGCCTGTTTACACAGTAAAGTTTATCATGGAGACCACATATCATTCTGCTCTAAAACCTGCAGCGACAATCAGATCTCGTTCTAGAGAGCTTATTTTACATTTCAAGTTGATTGCAATCAATCTACAGCATATGCCGGGGATACCGTAACAACTAGAGCAGTGGAAAATACTGGAATGCCCTGACTCTTACCTGGAGGCTGAACTGACTGATTATAAAGCACATCTTTGTCAGAGAACAGGTCTTCAAAGACCAAAGCACCTAAAGCGTTTTCCTTGAAATTGTTTGCCCCAGTGAGTTAAAAGGTGAAGCTGGGGTGGAATAAAAGGCGTATTTAAAAACAGGAATTTCCTTCTCCAAAATTAAAGGTAAAAAAGGACATTCCAGATATTTTGACTGGCTTTATAGAGGTCATTTATGTCATTTTAACATGTTGTTTCATTATTTATATTAAATACATTGGATTATTATTGTATTATTGCATACCTGCTAATTAAACATTTAGTTGAGAAATAAGAATTGAATAATGTGTAGAGTTTTGGTGTTGTTTGTTTTTTTTTTCTTTTTAAAAAGCAGTTGAAATGATACAAGAAACTGATTGCAGTTTCTTGTGCAATTTCCAGGCTTCTAGAATCATAGAAGGGACCTCTAAAGGTAGTTTTCTTACAGAGGAAACTCCTATAAAACAGGCATGATCCATATCTACTTCCAGAGTTTTAAGAACATATGTAAACAGCAGCTGTATCTCACGAATATTCAGCCTCCTGATACCTGTGAACAGCTCCACTTCTGAGGGAAACCTTTGCTGTAACCATTTCAAGAATGTGGTCCCAGTGATTCAGAGTTTTCCTGGGTATAAGGAGTCGCACTACAGGGCTAATAAGGTCTCCATTAGCAACCAGGCTGAAATAAAGCAAAGTAATATAAGTAATATAATTTGAAGGACCATTTAAAGCAAAAATCATCTGAAGTTAAGAAAGGAATTAAAAAATAGTATCTCAGTAACTGAAAATTCAACTTACAAAATTGTGTAGGGTTCCTGGAATGGTTTTCGAAACCGTGCTGACGCAGTGATTCTACTGTGAGTAACTGGCTTGACCTGCAAGGACAGAGAGAAATAGAAATCACTCAGCCTTCACAATGGGGTAGAGCTTTCCCTGACCACCAACAAGAAGAGTGGAGAACCCAGAGAAAGAAATTCCTGTTTTTAAATATGCCTTTTATTCCATCCCAGCTTCACCTTTTACAAAGCATCCAGAATTACTATTGCAGGTTCATAGGCTTGTTGAAGGACAGCTACAGCGTAGCCCTACATAGCTGTATGGGAACTGCTGAACCATGGCTTGAGCCACTGATTGATCACCTGGGGAACAGGCAACTGAACAGCAGAATAAAGCATGGACATTTCTACTATTGTGCCCTGTATTGAACAGATATCGCACTGACATCAAGCGGGTTGTTCAACATTAATGTCATTGTATTGAATTGAAAGTTATGCAATATTGACTAGGTAGGATTCCTTTTGGAGTTAATAAACACAAATTTAAAAAGAAAACAGAATGACACGTAGATGGAAAGACACAAAGACACACAGAAAGATACGCTCCAAACTCACAAGAGGCCATAAAACCACAATTTGATCCTCTCTGCAATGCAACACTCAGGTTTCTATGATCCACACTTTACTAGCACCAGTTAGAAAGCATTCCCTAAACACACAGGAGCACTTCTGTGTCCCAGGTGTGCCCAATTATTTTCTTGTTCCTACAAGCTGACGAAACCATTAATATTGAGGTAGACTCCTCAGAAGATCCTGGTGTTACTGCATGCTATACTGCCTGATCACTAGGCCTCTGAGAAAACAAGCAACGTGACAGATGCTAAGGGCTCATGTATGATTCAAAGGATTGTATTTCTGCCAATAGCAGATATTGTGGTATCAGCTTGCAAGCCTGGCTTTTAAATTGCTCTCTCAAAGAGTTATTAATATTTGTGGCATCATTTTGAGGCTTTTTGTTTTCCAAGCAAGGAAGCTGCAAGGAGCTGTAAGATAGGGTCAGCCTGGACAGACACTTAGTATTTTTTCTAAACATGGCCTAAACCAGAACGAAATACAAACTTGTATGATTTTGCTAAACGTGCCTAAATCAAATTTGTCTCCTGTATTAAAAGGTGGAAATAATATGTTAATACAATATTACATTTGCTAATGTAAGACCATAAAAATCAGCAGGTAGAAATGAAAAGAGGACTGTGATAATATGGGTATGCTTAAAACACTGGACAGGTTCTTCTGCTTCTCTTCTTTCTCCTATGGAGAAAGGTTGAGGGAATTGGGCTTGTTTAGCTTGGAGAAGTCTCTGGAAGACCTCATAGTGGCCTTCCAGTACTTGAAGGGAGCGTAGAAACAGGAGGAGGAATGGCTAATTAATGAGAGTGGATAGAGATAGGACAAGAGGGAATGGTTTTAAACTGAGACAGGGAGGTTTAGGTTGGATATTAGGAGGAAGTTTTTCACCCAGAGGGTGGTGAGGCACTGGCACAGGTTGCCCAAGGAGGCTGTGGATGCCCCATCCCTGGAGGCATTCAAGGCCAGGCTGGATGTGGCTCTGGGCAGCCTGGTCTGTTGGTTGGTGACCTGCACACAGCAGGGGGTTGGAACTGGATGAGCACTGTGCTCCTTTGCAACCCAGGCCATTCTGTGATTCTATGATGCTATGCTTGGTGAAGTGCATAGATGACACTGCAGTTTTTGGGAGTTTAGATCAGAGTAGTTTTGATTAAATTAAAAAGAATAAATTAAGCAGGTGCTGAGCCACACTGGTACAAAGCTCCTCAAATAGTCCTCTGTCACACTCAGTGTGAACAGTGAGGATAAGCACACTGCAACTGTCTTTGGGGTCCTCACATGCTCTTACACATATATTCAGGCTACCACTGCACGTCAGGAAGAGGAGGGATAACTAATTTCTCTGGGACTGCTAGGTTCTTTAAGGCACATCTTATACTTGATCAGCTTCAGCAACCAGCAAAAAAACACCCTATCCACCATTCTTCTAGATAAGCTGACTGTCATGCTCGTGTTTGTTTTTCTTTTTTTGGCCACCACAGTCTTCAAGTGACTATCTCGTATTGTTTAGAACAACTTCTGTGACTAATGTGAAACTACTTACAGGTATGAAAAGAGCTTTAATTTCTAAAGCAAGCCACAACATTTAAATTTGCAGTGGCAGACATCAATAAAATACCAAGTGCTTAGCTACTATAAATCAGTGCAGATCCTTTGAAGCATGTAGAGTTATGCAAACTCACTCCAGAGGAAGACTAGATTGGAGATTTAATTGAAGAATACATAAGACTGCTGGTATTTCTCATGTAGGAGGTACCACAACATTGCACTGTCTGGAATAGCCTGACCCCTCTGGCATTACAGTTACACATTAACGAAGACGTGAAGGTTTGTGATTACATTAACAGATGAACATCACAAGACTCCTAAATCCTTCTCTTCCCCATTTGCATCAGCAATTGTGAGCATATTTACATTAGCCAATGTTCTGGCCCCATTATGATTTTATCTTCAAGTTTTGTACATTTTCAGAGGGGTTTACAGGGTCCGTCGAAGAGCCTTTTCCACATCCTACTACCAAATGTTTCTGTTTCATAATTTGCCATCAGATACTCATGTCCAACACACAACAGTAACACAAAACATTTAGAACAGGAAGGAGAAAATATCATCATACTAATTGAAACTTAGAAGGAACTTTAAGCAAGCAAGATAAAACTAATCAAATGGGGATTTGCAACACAAGAGGAGCCACGTGTGCTTGGAAATGCACTATGGGACCTCTGGCTCTTAAAACAACCAGAATTTTTACCCTCCTATCAAGAATTTCCTCTTTCTTGCAGTGCCCCTTACGATAAGAGTACTCTGGATCTTTCTCAATTCAGAGAACAGTTACTACCTGCTCATTAATTCAGTGAAGCACCTGGCAGAGCCTGAGAAAAGCAAAGCAGCTGAACTCAACACCAGCTGGGCTCTAGGAGCTAAGATCTTTGTGAAAACTTGACTTTCAGAATACTTTCTACAGAGTGTCTCTTAGATCTAAGCATACATCTTCAGGCATAATTCACTGTGGTTGAATTTGTGTTGGTGAATGTTAGCTGCAGCTGAGTGCCTCCTTTGAATGTACAAAGCCACTATGCAGCTAAGCATTTAACTGGTGCAATGGTAGAAAAAAGCCAACAGAATAAAGTATAGTTGCTTTATAACATTTTATACAACATTTATAACATATGCTAAATATTCACAGAATTTAACAACTATTTACAACACACTTAAGACATCACATAATCTACTTTAAGTACTTACATCTTCCCCTGTTGACTGCTTGCAAAACAAAAGCAAAAACAGAACAATCAGCAGCCAAACTATCCACTCAGGCTTACTCTCATAAATATTTATATTAAAAACAGTTTTTCTATGGAAATCATTTTGAATAAGCGTGCTTACAGAGATATATGTAAATGTGTATATTGTTTATGTGTGTGCACACATTTACACATCAACTTAATACAGTTTTCATAGAAAATTTTCTGTTGTACTTAGGTTCAGCTGACACTGTGAAAGACTGAAGAACAACTAAAACAAGTTATCCTTTTTCAAATACTGTAGATGGTCTTGGCACTCAGTAAAAATTCAAGAATACTTGCTGTCCCATGCTTTTAACTCAAAGAAATGCTATATTGAGAAGGCAAGATTAGATGTACAGCACTCCAGGAAAAGTATGGTAATTGAAAACAGCTATTTAGGTAAGGTCTCTGAGCAGCACACACTTTGGTTTGAAATACAAACCTTAAAAAGACTGGTTTTCGTTTCTTCATAAATGAGCATTATAAAGAAAAAAATAATCACTAAAATGGAGATGCAGCAAAATATTATCTATTTCTTTTGGCTCATGTAAATCTATTTGGTTATCTCCATGTGCAATGATTTTTCTTCTACAAATGCTGTGTTATGCTTTTCATATATTCTATTCAAACAGAAGCTGGAAAGTAGGACAGACTTAGAAAACTTCTTATCCTTTCTGTTGGGTACTTGGGACTTGAGGAAGGTGTGTGGCCATCCTTATCTTGACTTTTCCCTCCAGTGTACATTAAAATGTTGAGCCAAGCTAAATACAGATAATTGTCCAGTAGCAATTTCACAGGTGGCCATGAAGGCTTGGGAAAGAGATGGTGTCACTAAATGATTTATTTCCTTTTCTTACCAGAAGAGAGCCCTGGCCACTGGGTCAACTTGAGCAACTGCAGGATTTATGGGTTTACAGAATATATGAAGCCAGGCTGGGTGGCAGAAAGACATCAGCCAAGCAACCTTACCTCTCTGAACCAGTTTGGTTTATACCTGTTTAACAGTTTGATTTTCTCAATGGTTTTTAACATTATCTTGGGCACTACTAACATTTCACTTATTACTCACGTCACTTTATGAATAACCTTTGGAAGTTTTAATATTTCAACACAATGACACATACCAACTTTATCAGCTCATGCAGTGAGCCGTGGCTTTACCAGTTTGTTACAATTGCCTGTTTGTTAATCAATGTGCACAGGAAACAAATGAGAACAAATATTTGCATTCCCTAAGGGTAGAACAGGGGTCAGAAGAACTAAAACCCCATTTATACATACAGTCACCATCCTACTATGTGAAACAAAGGAATGTTCAAGGTTGAGTGATCAAAAGCAAGTTAGAAAGATAAAAGTTACTTTTTCTAAGGCTGTTACAACGTAGGAAATATCATACCTACTTCATAGGAATGTGACTTTTTGGAACAGGCATTTTAATACATTTTGAGTAAAGATGAGCCAGATTCACGGAGGAGTTTTTGTCAGTACAAAAATGTTTCAGTTATCCTACATCGTAATAAATCTAGATAATTTCCTTTTCCCTGGCCATGTTACACTGCTAGATGGTACACTGGATAGTTAAAACAGCCTTGAGCAAGAGACTGACGACCTTTCTGCTGGCACCAGTGCAAATGACTACAAATATTCAAACTCCTATTAACTGGCTGGATTTCCAGGTGTATA